CCCACACCCCCACCCACACACCCACACCCACCCACACTCACACCCACCGCACCCACACTAACATCCACACCCACACCGCAGCTATCCAATGCCCTTTCAGAAAATTGCTAAATACTGTGCACCTCAATTGGTTTTCCCCCCTGGATATTTTTGTGTTTTTATTGCTATACTTCTTTTATTTATTAACCTACTACATATAGGAAGAAAGCCCGGAACGCGCTGCATCTTTTGGTATATTTACATTAAACATCAAATGCAATCTAAAATGTAAAAGATGTCTTAGAAAAAAAAGTGACATTTTTTTTTACTACACGGTGTCCACTACGTTGTAACATTTTTTATTTCGCGTATATCTCGGCTTTGGTAAATGATAATATCTTGACTTTTTTCCAGAAGATGCGCCGTGAAAAACTCTACAAAAGCTGTATGATGAAATTCCTTTTTGCCTGTTCCAATGGTTTTTCTTATACTTAAAATGAAAAACCTACATGACAGTGTCACTGTCCATTATATTGAAAATGTTTGAAAGACTTTTCATTTTGCATATATCTTGATTTGAGAAGATGATGGAATATTGAATTTGTTTTTGAAAGATGTGCCGTCGAAAGCTGTACAAGACTTGTATAGACCAAATCCTATAGCGAATCAGAAAAGTCCTCAAAATATTTTCTATATGATGGGAAGTGACACGGCCATGTAAGTTGTTCAATTTGGGTATAAGAAAACCATCAGAACATCCAAAAAAGGAAATCGATCGTACAGCTTTTGTAGAGCTTTTCACGGCGCATCTTCTGGAAAAAAGTCAAGATATTATCATTTACCAAAGCCGAGATATACGCGAAATAAAAAATATTACAACATAGTGGACACCGTGTAGTAAAAAAAAATGTCACTTTTTTTTTCTAAGACATCTTTTACATTTTAAATTGCATTTGATGTTTAATGTAAATATACCAAAAGATGCAGCGCGTTCCGGGCTTTCTTCCTATATGTAGTAGGTTAATAAATAAAAGAAGTATAGCAATAAAAACACAAAAATATCAAGAGGAGAAAACCAATTGAGGTGCACAGTACTACTATTTAAATAATATTATTAATAACTTTTCATCATATATTGCTACTAAATAGATTGTGAATGATTATCTATTCAGTAAATTCTTCGATAAATTTTTTTATCATGTTACTGCTACAGTAAAAAAAGAATCGTAATATTAATTATGTGTAGTAGACGATTAAAAAATAATAAAATTATTTTAAAAACATAAGTGAAAAATCATGTTATGTGTTAAATATCTTAACTTCGAAAAAAGTACATCTTATCAAAATAAAGTATTTAACCGATGAAATTCCTATTCGAATATATTTTATTTTGAATAAGAAAAGATTTCGAGCTAGTATAGCTCAGTGGTGTGTATGAACGACTTCTGATCACTGGTTCATCTGTTCAAATCTGATCGTCATCGCTTAAGGTAAAATTTAATCCATTTGCCAGGGAAGGCTAAGACCTTCGAAAAATATTGATGATGGTGACTCAGTTCGAATCAGAAATGGATTATCATATGTTTTTCAAAATTTTCAGTTTTTATATGAAACGCGTTGAGACGCTTCAAATATTTCATCTGTGACGCGTTTTCGTTAAAAAACGTGTCTGAAAGCATGTCAAGCTACGAACGCATCACATGCGTTTCTAAAATAAATTGCGTCTAAACGCTTCATTTGTTCCACTGGGGACGCGTTCACTCTTAGCGTTTCGCACGCAAATGAAACGCGTTTCAGACGCATTTTGAGGCAAAAAAATATTTACATGGAATCACTTGCTCAGCAGTTTACTGGAATCAAATGTCATTCTTATTTGTGAAACAATCTTGTATATGTTATTCAAACACACCATGAAACAGTACAGAAATATGTTTCTTATTAAGACATAAAACCAAATTTTTAGACAAAATTTTACTATTTTTAAAACTATCTACAAAAGATAGCTAGTTATCGATGTTTGGCGCCTTTTATGTCAAGGAAAATATCTCAACTTATTCATTCGATTAGGAGAACAAATCAGTCATTATAAAGAAGAGCATTTTGTAGAGCTTGAGATTCTGCATCTGTTGGTACAAAAAAAAACTAATCTTTGTAAGTCCGAATTTTGAGAAAATTGCTAAAAACACATGCGATTTCGCTGGCCGAGATTGCCGTCTTAATGTTTTGCACTTTTCGAAGGAAAAAAATTAAGTATTTAAAAGTAAATATACCACTAGATACACCGAAGAATTCTACATCTCTCACTACCCGAAACAAATTTTTGAACTAAATCTTACTTGATAAAACTTGATTCCAAAACTTTCTGATTTTCTAGTTGAGCAAGTGATGTTTTGTGGCATCCAGTATTTTTACTGCTACAAAAAAAACGGAAAATGCTTATTTTAAAATACACATATCAATAAAATCTACACAAAATTCTGTATCTTTTAGCATCAGAACCAAACTTTCTAATGCAGTCTAACTTGAGAAACAGCCTACCAAACTCGGGCCCTTTCCTCTGGGCAACCCGTTATACAAATGTAATTTAATAAAAAATAATTTAAGTTAGTTGTTCATTGATATTTATAATTGATGACCATATTTTTTTAACCATTTTAATTCTTCTCGGACTTTGATTTTTCCATGCCAAGGGTTTATAGCCAACTCATGTCCTTCATTGGGAAAAATAATGAGTTTTACTGGTACTCCTAGATAATAAAGACCTCGTTCGAATATATAGCTTTGACTTGCAGGAACATTTATATCATTTTCGCCAGTAGTTATTAATGTGGGTGTATGTACTCTATCTAATTGATATAGAGGAGATTCATTTTGATATATATGTGGAACTTCCCATGGATATCCTCCAAATAAATAAGTCAAAAAGATAGGTATATCCATTATACCCCACGCTGAAGTATGATCAATAACACCAGCACCAGATAAAGCAGCATTGAAGCGTTTAGTTTGAGTAATTAACCAATTCGTCAGAAAACCACCATAACTATAACCACCAATAGAAATCCTATATGGATCAACAATTCGATCTCGAATTAATTGATCAATTCCATACAGAATATCTTTTCCTGGCAAAGATAAAGGTCGATAACGAATCTCTTGCAGAAACTCATCACCATATCCTATTGATCCTCGATAATTTGGTTCTAATACTAACCATCCTTCTGAAGCAGCTAATGGAGCCCAATTATACCAATCTGGTATAAATTGATTTACATTTGCTGAATAGGGACCACCATGAAGTAGGACTAAAAGAGGTAAATTTGTAGATTGAAATTTTCCTGGTGGATAATGTAACATTCCTTCAATCATTTGATAATCTTCTTCATTTCTCCATCTGTAGACTGTTGCTCGAGGTAAATCTCGTTGAGTAAAAAGTTTATTTTCGTTTGTGATACGTTCTGCTAATTGAAGTTGATCAATATTATTAATTAAATAAACTTCCATTGGTTGTTCTGTTGAAGTATAAACAAATGCAATAGAACCATCATTTGATACTGTAATAGATTTATATGTTCCATTCCAGCCAATATGTTGAATTAAATCTTCTAATGAAGATCGTTGAGAATAAATCTGAATTTCTGTTCCCATTTGTCCAAGAATATGAACACCACCATTAGATCTAACTGTATAACTATCAATACTACCATAAAAATTCTCGGCTAAACGTGTAATTTGTCCATTGCTTAAATTTAATGAATAAAGACGTGTTTGGGTGTCATTAATTTCTCCTCTACTTGAACCTAAACTTCGCGATTGAAACAGAACATGTACACCATTGTTTGATAATCGTAAATTTTCTTCAATAGCTTCATTATATGTCAATCTGACTAATGATGATAATGATGATGTAGTTCGAAGATCAAGTGAATAAAGTTCGAAATCTTCTAAATCTTCCATAAGTGGTGATAGAGATGTGAATAAAAGTTTTCCTTCGAAAGGAACAAATAATAGTTCACCAATTAAAAATGAAATATTCATTACAAGATATCTTTTTACAGATAATAATTGATTCTCTTTAGTAAATTCAACACGATAGATTGTTGTTTGTTGATATTTTTTATCTTGTCGATATTGAATAACATCATGCCATTCTTCTTCATTCAAATGATGATCTTGTTTTATTGACTCTAAGTTAATTGTGGCTAAGTAAAGTGAATAATCATTGTCAGACCATGTAAAAGTTAAAGGAATATCTTTTCCAATTTGAATTGGTATTAAATCGTTTGATAGAAGAGAATATAAATAAATATGTTGTTCTGTTTTAGGATAGTTTTCAAGAGATCGACCATAAAGATGACTTTTGGTTGTATTCGATGGTTTTTCATTGAGTAACAAAGCAACCCAATTTCCATTAGGTGACCATTGTGGTTTGATTGATTGACGAAGATTTTTTGTAATCAATTTTCTTGTCCGCTGTTTAGTATCGTAGATCCATAAAGCGTTCTCATTAGAACTAGTATTCCATGAAGGACGAACAGTTTTGATTAGCAAATATTGGCCATTTGGGGAAAAATCTAATAGTGGAAACCTGGTATGATTAAAAAATTCATCAAGTGTTATTTTCGGTTTTGTTTGCAATGAAGAACTTAAGAATACTTGTAAAACTAACAGTAAATACAACTTTATAATAATTTTCAACATGATTAATTGTAATCTGAAAATAAAAACAAATTGATTTATGCCAAATATTTTTATCACATAATAGGATCCACCTTCATGCTAGCAAATTGATGATCAGAAAAATTGTTAATTATTTTTACCAAAAGAAAGAATCAATACTTTTGATAAGTTGGCATATACTTTGACGATATATACTTGTTCATATTTAAGTCATTGTTAATATTTTTTATATAGTATACTCCGATCATTTTGCTTGGTCTCATTGTCATCAAATGAAAGATGTGATCTTTCGATGGGATTAAAACATGGCTAATATTGCTACTTTAATACTACGTATGATTTTTTTGTAGTTCTGTGATCAACATTCGGGATATTTATTTTAATTTGGATTAAGTTTAACATTAAATATTTTTCTTTTTTGATCTTTGAATAGATACACGAATAATAACTTCTCGGTAGTTTCAATTGGATTGAAGTAATTACCCAACCAACCATTCGATAGGTATTTCGATGCGTCGATTTTGGCTTCCGTTAAGCATCGAAATTTCAAATCGACCCCTGGAAGTGCCATTTTCCTGTGAGTCGAGGGCTCGGCGATAGGTTGTTTTTACTAGCAATTTTCAACCACTCGAATAATCGTTTCCGATGGATCGGAATTTCATCGAAAAAAAGAATTTTTATCCGATAGATCTCTCAATTTCGAGTTGTCCAGATCCATCGCATATAAATTTCGAGTCGTCGAAACCTATCGAACATATGCGGAGAAGTAGATTTGAACATGGGTGTGGGGTGTGGGTGTGGGTGGGGTGTGTGGGTGTGGGTGTGCGTGGGTGTGGGTGTGGGGTGTGGGTGGGTATGGATGTGGGGTGTGGGTGGATATGGGTGTGGGTGAGTGTGGGTGTGGGTGAGTGTGGGTGTGGGGTGTGGGTGGGTGTGGGGTGTGGGTGTGGGCGGGTGTGGTGTGGGGCGTGGGTGGGTGTGGGTGTGGGGTGTGCGTGTGGGTGAGTGCATGGGTTGGTGTGGATGTGAGTGAGTTTGAAAAGAATATCGGGACCCACACTCACACCCCACACCCACACTCGCACTCGCACTCACCCACACCCACACCTACCACCCACACCCCACACCCACACTCGCACTCACCCACATCCACACCCCACACCCGCACTCACCCACACCCCACACCCTTCACATCCAAAACGTTGACTATACTTTTCTGAGATGCAAAAAATCACTTACAGAACTTTGAAAACGATGTAGTGATACAAGCAGCATACGTTCACTCCAGTATTTAACAGGAGAGAAACGATGTTATCTCGTACTTAAGTGCGCATGAGAAATGAGAACTCGAAAATTTAATTGAAAGAACGGAAACAACTACGACAAAACACATGAAAGAAATGGTCAAAAGAAGAATAACAACTTGAAAAGAAAACTAGATGGTATTCGAGCTTCGCACCCAGAGTCGAAATAGAATAATTGTTCTAAATACCATCGGAATTCGTTCTCACAATGTACATGACGATATTCGAAATAAAAGGTGCCCATTATAAAAGTCATTACTAAAGAAGCTTTATGAAAATGTTCTACTATCAGCTGTATTCACAACTGTTATATATAGCCAAACAAATTGGCGCCTAACTTTGTGTTCGAATTTATCTTTAAAGAAAACTTCGTCAAAATTGCATTTTTGGAGTTCCGATTATAGACAAACTATTGGTTCTAGAGATGTTCTGATTAAAAATTTTTGCGAGTTCGATCTCGATACTTGCATTTCACGTTTGAACGAAGAGTGTCCTAATTTCCGTTCTCGAGATCCTTCGAACACAAAATGACAACTTTTATGCGTACGTTGTGGCATCTCGATAATGTCGTTCTTTCATAGAAAGAATGTTTCTTTCAACTGTTATATTACTTATATGATTCATTATCTTTCATCAGCTGCTTCATATTTGAGAAAAGAGAATGGTACCCGACTTTCGTTTTAATTATCTCAAAACTTGAAAAAAAACTAAAGGTCTTTTTTGGACGCAGTTTATATGTAAACGAGATATTCTGACAAAAATTGAAATAAAACAGGTTTCGGTTTGATCTCGACGCTTGTATTTCGTGGTTGAAGAAAAATTTTCTGACTTTTGGTTCTCAACATCATTGCGATGCAAAACAGTGTTTTTTATTTGATTTCTTATATCGTCTATTTACAAAAAAAACAGACATGTACTGTTCAAGTTTTATATACAAAGGGAATAGACAAACAAATAGAATATATTAGTTTTTTTCATATGACCAATCAATTAAGCATACAGATTTGTCTGAACCATATAGATGACGTTGACGAATGATCGCGATTGTAGCATCAGGTACGATATATTTAACACTTAAACCTTTTTCTAATCGTTTTCGTATATTTGTCGATGATATATCATTAACGACCCAATCTTCAATAATATCGATATGTTTTTTCCAAAGATCAGGCATGCCTTCTGTAACATCAGGTACAGTTGCCTTATCTTGACCAGATTCTGGAGCACTTAAGCGATTTATGCAAGCAACACCATATTTTGTCATAATATCATCAATATCTTGTGGTTCCCAAGATTTTGGATTTAACATTGAACGTACAACATCAGCACCTGCCAATAAACGAAGTTCAGTATTTTCACCATACTGCTTTTTTATATCTTCATAATGATGATCAAGTACTATTTTGGTTCGTGTCCAAGATTCTTGATTAGCTTCCCAAGAATCAACTCGAAGCCATTGATTATTTGCTACAGCTGCTTGAATCATTTCAATACGATGCTCTGCTTTAGCTAGACCTGGTTTAGGATAAGTATCATTAACAGGAGATATTATTCCTTTAAGAACTTGAATTGATTGAAGATGATAATAATCACGAGCTAATTCAAGCATATGTAAATGACCTATAGTTATTGGATTGAATGAACCAGTTAGAAGAATTACTATACGTTTAATTGGAGATGGAAATTGATTAAGGTGTATTTTACTTGATTGTTGATTAAACGGTTCAAAATAATCTTGTCTAGCTTGAATTGCTTGTTCAGTGTCATCTAAAGTTTTTTTGGATTGTATTGGTGGCATGCAATAAGCAATTTTTCTTGTGAATGTGCGAAACACGAAATCTGTTTTATTGTTACTCTTACGATATAACAAAGAACGAGCACAACTATGTAATATATAAAGGAAAAGAGGCGTCTTTCTTCCCTGAGTCATTAGCGAAATCCCATATAAATGCTTATCTACTCTGATCAAAAACACGTTGCAATGATGAAAATATACTAGTTGATGACAACATCGACGTGACAGAGCAAAATTCATTTTAGAATAATAATTGAAAAGAGTAAAAGAATCGATGATTCATTTTTACGACAATGTAGAAGAACAGTCTAATCAAACAGCAAGGTGACGTGTATTGTAAATATGAATAAGAATATGATTAGAAGTTGTTGAGTTTCTGTTTCAAATGAATCATGAACTGTAAAAATACGTCATGTTTACTATTGTATGAATATTAAGAGTATCTTCGCGTTTCATTGACATGTTATGAAGTAATGTCCATTTCAAAAAGAAAGCAGGTGGGTACTTTTTAAATAACTTCTGATAGGAACATGGTAGAAAGCTGTGCTTTTCACCATTGGAAAGAGTAGACGAAAATGCATCAAACTACATAAGACAATGAATTTTAACTGGGACTTTTGGATCGTTTTGCAACAGTTGAACAAAGAAATACTTTAAAAACAGGTTTGATTTTCCCAGAAAAAGACGAAAATAAATGCGGAAACTTCGGATTTGAATCCGAGAGTTATGTGTACTTCAAAAAGTGAATTAGACAGATGAGTCATCCTAGAATATGTGGATATCAAAATTATACTGGGAAATCTTTTCTATAAACTGTTTATTTCTGTTGACTATTGATCCATCAATAGGGCTTGGAAGCGAATAGAGCTCAAATTTGAACTCTTCGCCTGGATTTACCCTAACAAAGTCGTTTTTCTTATAACTTGATTTCTATTGGTCACTGCTCAACCAATAGTATTTCGAGGTAAGTAGAGTACGGATTCGAGTTCTTCGCCCCAGAAAACCTCAAAGTATCAACACTCTATGATCGGAAGATAGAGCTCGAATTGTGAGTCAATTAGATGGTGGACAAAAACGAAACCAATTTCCGTTTAATTATCTTTGTAATAGTTGAGTTAACCTTCTTGTTTCTTTATGTTTTATATACCATTTTGTAGCTCGTGAAATTCTCTATCGAATGGTATATAATAGTTGGAGTTTTAGTTGATTATGATAGGAAATGTTGTTTACGAAATCGGGGATAGGTCGATTTTTGCATAGGAAGGCATAGAGAAAAATGACTATGTTTGCAATAACGCAGGAATGGCTCGGTCAATGATTCTCATCTTCGAATTCGACCGAGATATTGTTGAGACTAAACTGTATAGAAAATTTCATCGCGATCTGACTCTCCTTTCAAAAGTTATTGTGTAAACGGACGGACGGACACACTGACCGATTCTAGAGTGTACTCACTTTTTGAGTACACAAAAATGGGTTATAAACGAAAATTTAGTTTAAATATTGAACGTTTTCAAGAAGAAGAAGAATCAAAAAATTCAGTTACATCAACAATTTTCACTCCAACTAGAAGCAAACATTTTCGTCGACAACTGAGTGAACAAATTTACAGTAAGTCAATCATATATCTGATCATCGATTATAAAATATTTCATCGATATTTCTAAGAAATGATCAGATCATTTTAATCATCTCCATTCGAATTCTAGTTAACCGATCATTTTTGGTAGCATAGAGAGAAGAAATAATTTACTCCATTAAAAAATCATAATAATACAATTAGAAAAATTTTAAATTTTTTTTAGAAGAATCTCAACTGACGAATCATTTTGATGATGAACAAAAATCACTTTTACTTATTGATGGTTTTGAAAAGTTTCCATATAAAATTGCTGATATAAGTCTAGCCAAATCAGGTAGAACAGTCTTGTCAGTAGACGAACATGAAATACCAGGTGTTATGCTACTAAGAAAAATCTATGGTCCTGAACAACCATTGAAAGGTGTTCGTCTAGCTAGATGTTTACATTTAACAGCACAAACTGGTGTAATGATCGAAACATTCATTCGATTGGGTGCACAAGTAAATTTTTTTTTTGTTTTTAACTTTCAGTCATACCTATTATTCTCTCATAGGTTTAATGGAGTTCTTGTAATCCATTATCAACACAAGATAATGTAGCAGCTGCATTAGTTAAAGCTGGTGTTCCTATTTATGCATGGAAAGGTGAAACTGAAGAAGAAAAATTATGGTGTATAGAACAGGTAAACAAGATACTCTGCTCTTTTTTTTTCTTAATTTTCTTGCAAATGCATGAGTTCATGTTTTATTGTAAAAACAGAATGGAATAGGTATACCTTTTGTTTTAGTTAATGTACTTCTAACGATGCAAATATTTATTGATTTTTCTAAAATAGAGATTAAAATTTGAATAAAACAAATTAAAATCTGTAATATTTATAGTTTAAAATTAATATTAGCATATAGCGAGAATACTTGTTTATTAATTCTTTATCAATGATAAACATCGGCTCACTTTTTCCATTTTGATTTTAATGCTTGACTATTCATATAATCAACTTTCTATTCTATTTCAGACAATCTATTTTCCTGATGGTCAACCATTAAATGCAATTTTAGATGATGGTTGTAATTTAACAAGAGTTACACATGAAAAATATCCACATTTGACAAGTATGATACATGGTATTAGTGAAGAAACAACAGCTGGTATAACAAAATTACGTAAATTATTGAAAAATGATGAATTAAAAATACCATTCATCAATGTTAATGATAGTGTAACAAAATCAAAATTTGATAATAACTATGGATGTGGTGAAAGTCTTATTGATGGAATAAAACGAGCTACAGATGTCATGATCGGTGGTAAAATTGTCGTAGTCATTGGATATGGAAAAATTGGAAAAGGATGTGCAAAAGCATTAAGTGGTTATGGTGCACGCGTTATTATTACTGAGATTGATCCAATTTGTGCTTTACAAGCTGTGATGGATGGTAACGAACATCTATACCTGTATTAATTATAATAAATAATGAATGCATTATTCTAGGTTATGAAGTAACAACAATGACTGAAGCATGTAAAAATTGGTCAGATATTTGTAACAGCAACTGGTTCGACAAAACTAATTCGTGGTGAACATATGATGGAAATGCGTGATATGGCTACTTTATGCAATATTGGATCTGGTCAAACTGAAATTGATGTCGTTTGGTTAAAGAACAATGCAGTAAAAGTTGAAAATATTAAACCACAAGTATATATATATATAATATTATCTAATATCAAATGATATTAATTATTAGATGACTCGTTTTCTATTGTTATAGGTCGATATTTATCAAGTGGTCGAGCTGTTATTCTACCTGCTGATGGACGTGTAGTTAATCTTTGTAAGTATCATCTATAAATGAAATAATTGTTGATTATTGTCCATGTCTAGCTTGTGCACATGGTAATCCAAGTTTTGTTATGAGTAATTCATTTTCAAATCAAATACTAGCACAAATTGAATTATATGAAAGAAAAGGACAATATTCAATTGAAATTCATACTCTTCCAAAAAATGTAAATGTTATTTCATTGATTGAATAAAACTTTTTTCTTAAGTATGTTTTTTGATTGTAGTTGGATGAAAAAGTAGCTCTGGTACATTTGGATTATTTGGGTGTAAAGTTGGAAAAACTAACAGAGGAACAATCAGCATATCTAGATTTGCATCGAAATGGACCGTTCAAACCCAATTATTATAGATATTAGTCAATTATTTATCAACGGAGAGATATAATTTCTAAAAAAACTGTTGTTTGTTATATGTTAAATTTTTAATTACACAATAGAACATGATAAAAATTATTATTAGTTTTTCTTTTTTTTCTCAGTAATTGTCCATTTTTTTAAAAATTTGTGACAGATTATTATTAATAATATAGAGGAAAAAGAAAGTTTCATCTTGTCGCATATAACATTTACCACTCAGATACCATTAAAACGCATTCATATGGAGCAAGATGTTACACTCACTTCTATGACAGTTCTTAGAACAAAATTTATCTTTGATTTGTCCCGTTCTAGTTTCATTTAATATCACTTTTACAACAGAATCATCGTCTAACTTATTCACAACACAAACATTTACATTCGCAAATCAAATATCACCTGTTCCTTCATTTGAAACTATGTATTTACCTACTAACCCTGATGTTGTGGTACCCGATGGTTTATTAGGATGTCGCTGTAGTTGTGCATATAGGCATGTGGAGCGTCCGTATGGGTTCTCTGTGATGTCTGCTCATCTACACGCACACCCTTCATCTTGTTTTATCAATAATAACAAATATGACCTGTAATCAAAAGAGAATGTGGATGTGATCCTTCGCTTCAATGAATAATATCAATACCAACGTCCACATTTGCCTGTATTTTCATATTTAATCGACTATCTTATTGAGATACGAATGCACCGCACAATTTTCAAATTTAAAGAAATTAGTAGTATCAAACGAAATTATATTTTAATTCAGTAAATTCGAAAAAAAAAAATAAAATAGGAGAATAAAATTCAGTTAAGTATAAACGTTCCAACATCAAATGTTCACTCAACCGTTCTTACTTTCCTTCAATACTAAAAAGTCCATCTATATTTGTTTTACAAATGAAAAATAAACTTTAATAGAAGAAGCAAAATGGCCACATATATGCAACATGTTTCTTATTGAAAATTGTTATAATGACGAGAGCATGGAGCTATTTGAATGCATTTATCATCAATATTACATTCTGAACTGGCACAACATGGATATGTTCCAATAGAGCATTTGTCTTCTCACAGTAATCCGGATGGAAGCATGGACCATCTTTTGCATAAAAGTTACTGATTCTTTTTGAACAAGGAGAAATTATATGACATATTCCATTAATGCACTTTGATTGTGTATCAGAGCCCGAAAACGAACCGAACTCGAACCGAACCGATCTCGATCCGGTTTTTTTAAAATTTAGTCGAACCGAACCGAACCCGAACCGCTCTTTCAAAAACGTAGTCGAACCAAACCGAACCCGAACCACCCTTTTTAAAACAGAATCGAACCGAACCGAACTCGAACCACTTCCTAAAAAGGGACCTTAAGCTGAACTGCGCCTAACTAATTTTTGAAAAGCGAATAAATATGGACAAGTACATAAGAAAAATGATTAGTTGAGCTATAATCTTTTTTGTAAGATTGTGATGCTATATGGGATTATCAAACGATCTTTAATCGAACATTTGACATCAGGGATTGTGGACGATCAATTTATATTTACAAAAATTTATCAAGTCAAGAAATCAATTGTAAAAGATTTCATTTTATTTTGAATTTAAATCGAATTTGTACAGAATTCAAAAAAATTCAATAAACTCAAAATAATTTAGATTACATCTAAATAAATTTGAAGTGTTTTAAGCTACATTTTAATTAATTTAAGTTTCACTTTGTATAGTTATCTATAGAAATCAAAAGAAACCTTTTATCTCTCAGGTCTACTAGCAATGGTATTTGTACAAGCTTTTTATTATCGTTAGAAAATAATAGGAACGGAGCACGGCCGTTTTCTTACGGGATCTACTATAGTGATGATCGGATGTTAATGTATAATAGCAGTTTCTCTCTTTATTTCTGATCTATTTTTCTTGAAGTCATGTATTTTGACGATTGGGCTGTTGCATTTTAATTCACAAAAAATTATTACTTCCAGAAATTAATTCTCAAAAATTTAAATCTAAAATAATTTTAAATTTATTTCACATAACAATTTAAATTTATTGTAAATTAAAATTTTGGTATCAGAAAAATTTTATTTAATTTAAATTTATATTGGCAACAGTTTTAGTTGAAAATAAACTTACAGGAAAATGGCACGCCTATCAGGAACCGAACCGAACTATAATGGTTCGGTTCGGTTCGAGTCGAGCCGAACCGATCTCGAACCGGTTTTTTTAAAATTTAGCCGAACCGAACCGAACTCGAACCGATTTTTTTTAAACATAGTCAAACCGAACCGAACTCGAACCCACTTTTTAAAGACATATTCGAGCCGAACCGAACCCGAACCAATTTTTTAAAAAATTAGTCGAACCGAACCGAACTCGAACCCGTAAAAGTCGGTTCGATTCGGGCTCTGTTGTGTATACAGTATGGTCCATAATCACATTCACAAAGTTTACATTCTGTTAGATATCTACATTGACTCGCATTTGTACATTTACAAATTGAACATGGTTCAATAATCTTACATATTCTATTGACACATGTAGCCGTTGGGTGTGGGTGTGGGCACAGGAGAAAAGAAGATCGTACCGACACATACACCCACACCCTAGATAGTTTGTGAAAAAAAATCCAATTGATGACCATCCATTAAATTATGATGAATATAATCCATATGAGATTTGTGCTGCATCGTATATACTAATTTATTGGTATGAAATTTAAAAATGAAATCGAATTTAATTCAAAGTAATCTTTAATTCTTGTTCGTGGAAATCCATTAGTGAAATGTCCATTATTTGGTGCAGACTATTTACTGGAATTTAAAGAACATTAACGTCATCTTTTAAAAGCAACTGAAGTAGGAAAATAATCTTTTGATCTTAGAATTTCAATGAGTCAATTCTGTTAGAATAAAAAAAAGACTCTTTTGTAATTCTATTTCATTATTATCAAGTTTTAATGGATACATTTATCATTACAACGTTTTTTCTTTTCTTTAAAAAGACAAATTTAACTAATATCGTTGAATCATTCGACAATGAATCAAAATCCTTCACTTTTCTTTTGTCGTTTCTTTAAAATTAAATTCTAATATAAAATCTTCTTTAATTAACACTTATAAAGAAATTCGTTTCTAAAACGAGAATTCAGAATCAATACATTTGTTTAAAATAAGTTCATGTCAGTAGACATTTGAAATTCTATAATAATATATAAATAAATAATCTCATTCAATTAGTAACCAGAGTTCATATGCAAAATATATAGAAGATATGGGCTAGTTTGTTTACTTTTATGAACTGTAACTAGTTTTAATTATAATTAAAAAAAGCTCCTGATTGGATTAAGCTTATGTGAGAAGAGCTACGTAGTAGGCAACTTCTTTTTGATAAGATTCTTTCAATTCATTGAACTACGAAGTGTCACACGCATCTATTCAATATTCATACAGGCAGCTTTTCCTTGCTCAACTTTACTAAACATATTCAAATAAAAAAAACAATTGATTCAAATTACAATAAACGATTGTTGCTAGCAAGAAAAAGAAAGAATGTCGATTCATTATCAGATTGTTGACAGTGTTGTAAACTAAGAGATAACCAAATAGTTAAAGATATACTTTTCATAGTTTTCTTCAGTATTTAAAAAGTAAAAATAATAAAAACTAAAGCAGAAGATCATACTGATGATTTTTTTCTATTCGATGGTTTAGTTTTTCCAATTGAAACAAATCTTTGCTGATTTCGATCGACTTTTCTTCGATTGTTCAATTATATTTTCAATTCCTTCACGAGACTTTAATAATGAAAATCCTTAGCCACCAACTAATCTAAGAAATTAGGTTCTTGAACAAGAGTTT